ACACACATTTCAGAATGACTTCATTTCGATGTTATTTGTTTGTAAACCTTAAACGCGTAGCGCAATCACGAATCTTTGAGGACAACAAGAATTAGTCTATAACGTATGCGAAGAAAATCACGATCGAAACTCGTAGTCAGGATAATCGTAACTGGTAATCGAAATTCTCCAGAGAACTGAAACACCAAAATTCCCGTTATTATTACGGTGGAATCAAACAATGCTTACTAAATTTGAGTATACAAATATAAATGCACTGAAGCTGTGACACAAATCGAGAAAGATCTTACGATATTTTAAAAAAATATATATATATATAACCGTATCCTTGAACAGCACTATTACTACTAAAACACATCCAGCTGCATAATTATACCGAAAGATTCCTCTCTAAGCGTTTCACATCACAGAAAAAGGAAATGTTCCAGAGGTAAGGTAGACAACACACTTGATGCCACATCAGCACTGCACACTCACCATTTCCTTTAAAAGAAGTGACGGTACATTTCTCCGAAACAAATGTCATCGCCTTCAATGGTCAAACAACTACAATGCACGAGGCATAAGGTTTTCATGGCGGTTGAAGCTTACATGTGTTATTTTCTGCTCTGCGACACCGTGTAGCATTTTCGTGATTACCGACGTTTCGGAAAGGCCTACTGTGTCCTTATACCCTGAAATCAAAAGGCCTGCAACAATATCTCCTTTAAAAAGCTTTCCATGTCGTACACGTTTTATTGTTATAATCGACAGGCAGCACTAGAAACAGATAATTTAGAGCGTAATTGATTTACACCCCTCGACAGATATCGCATGAAGGGGGAAAGAAACATATCATTACACTATACCCTGATAACAAAACGCAGAAACTAAATAATAAGCCTATTCTCGGTACTTCAGTCATGCGAAATGTCCATTCTGGGCTTCAGATAATTGTAGCATGCAGAAAAGAAAATACAACATGCAGTGAGACACAAAATGACCTGTAATCGTCATGTGACGCTATAATAACGACAAAATGTGTACCGTGTACACGATAGTCCCTTGACAGCGTCTTTTCAAAACGTTTGTGTGTGTGACCCAACATAACCTCTTCACCGTCACAAGAATTCCACCCGCGGACCATATATTTATTAACTGGATTCAAGTTGACAATCTTACAACGTACTTCCATTAGACTCTTTTGTTATTATTCTACAGGGCACTTACCGATTCAAGTTTTAGCGCGTTCCTTTGCATTCTGAACTCACGATGCAGAACTGACCTACGTGTTCGGCCAACCTTCTCGATATAACCCTTGAAAGAACCAAGTCTATTCATAAAATTAAATTCCTACCTCAAAGTAAACATCGATCTATGTTCATCTCTTTCGCTGACAAAGAGCAGAAGTAATGCATCCAAAGCAATGAATATCAAAACCCCCTACAACAACTCTTACTGAAAGTTTCGAACAAACCGGACATGTCACGGGCCTGCGTATCCCCACCCCCAGACGCCGTGGGCCTTTCAATCGAGTTGCACAGGTTCAGAACGCTTGCAGAGGCGGAATTTGCAAGCAACACGCGGTCACATTTACGACCACAATTCTAACGACGTTAAATCCTATTTTGCAACGATGTACTTGACACACCACTTTCTAAGCCCAGGTGTCAACTAACATTCACCAATTAACATGTGTCACGTGACAACCTAAATATTTTCAAACGTTAAGAGACGATAATTATAGAAACGGTTCGATACGCAAACACACAAGTTCACAAGTCTTCGAAAATTCGTCCTGTGAAGAAGTATGGAGATTTTACTTCTGCTAGCTGGCAATAGACGGAGGTGACAGGTCAGGTTCACGCTTCGGCCGCTTTACCCTGTCGATATAGCGGCCTGTGCACTTTGATGCAAAGAAATCAATGAGACTAAATATACAATTGCAGGTTTATCACCTGTTTTTTCGAAACTTATTAAAGCTCTAATAAAAACTCGGCTCTGAAGATAGCAGCAATATGTACCTTAACTAACCTCTACCATGAAACAATGTCTGGTTCATGGTTCCGTGAACCCCCCACCCCGCAATTTTGGTTGTCCCCTAATTGGTTTGCATCACCTGGCGGCGACACAATGGATCGACGGATTGCCGGGCGTGACAAAGAGAAGTGGTCGGTCAGACAGACGACCAGGTGCGTGCAGCGTCCCTGTGGGGAGTCCGACACTTTTTCATACACATCCGTGGACGTCGTCGCAATTCAACTTCAATCCCTTTATCTGTTACGCCCATTGTTTCAATTCGCTACACAACTTCGGCTGAGCACAATACGCTGTACATAACTGACAGATAATGGACGACGCCAATTAAATTAATTAGTTCTATTGGTAATGACATGAGTACATTATGCGCCGTGTATAATCAGACACTCGACTTCACGGGTCTAACAATTTAGAAAGCGTCTATACAGATTTTAAAAAAAAAAAATTAATGCAGTTCCTCGACAATGAAGCGTCTTAATTTGTGTTCTTCACAAAATATTATCATGGTTATCAAATAAAAGACGACGAGTTAAACGGAAAATTAAACAAGTTTATGGGAGATGGTAACTGCGTATAAGACTGAAGTATGAACAACTGAGAGGGGGCTCTTGGAAAGGGGGGCAGGGATCGAAAATTGAGTGTGATGACTGGATTCAAATAACTCATGATATGGTTCACTGGCGTGTTCCTCTGAACACTGTAGAGCACTTCAGAATTCCATGATGTTCGGGGAAACGTCTTGACCAACTGCGAAATAACCTCTCTCTCTCTTTTTTTTAATTTTTCTCCGAGAAACACCTTGTTTCATGAGCGAGTGAGTTACATCACGATTATGAACCCCGGAAAATACTCCACAAATCTTCAGTCACAGCTTCGGTTCTGGCGAGGAAATACAGCTTATACAAACACGCCTCTTCGTGACAATAACAAAGAATGCCTTTTGGAACAACCGTGTCATTCAGAAATGTTGGATTTTCTAAGAACACGAATTGCAGCAAGCACTGCGAGCTAATACTTCAAGAAAGGTCGTGCCCAATTTAAACTGTTAATTCCATACCCTTTGGCGCATTCGTGATGGAACAGTGGAGGTGCGTTGAGATCTTTAATGCTGTGCCTCTCCACAAACCGATTGATTGCCAAAGTTCTCCTGAGAGTATTATACATGTGCGTGATGGTATGTTGCCAACAGAAAGCTTCTCCTCTGTGGATCGTGACGAAGGCAACCAAACCTGTCATTTTTATATAAACATCACAAATTCGTGTCAGCCAAAATGGGTTTGGCAAAAACACTCCAAACTTTCGGCGTGTATCGGCCATTAATTAAAAAAAACTGATGGGTAAGGAGTATACTGCATCTGTTGTCATGTCCAAAGATAATCGAGCTAATAATCATTAACTTTAGAGACGCTATAATCATTCAAAACTGTTTCCTGTTTTCTAATTCCCATATGGGAAAAAAACACGTTCTGTCCGACTTTTCCTGAATGAATCACTGTTCTTATGGTAACAGCGTTAGAAATATTGACGGACAGTGGTTTTAAAACACGTTCACTCGAAGTAGCATTACACATTCTCTATGATTAGGCCCTAAAGGACACTTCGCGTTACCACAGCAACTCACAGACAACAACATGGTTCGCCAACGACTGGGGAAGCTGTATGCGGGTTGGGCTCTAATAATCTGATCTGTACATGAAATTTAAAAGTTTTTAAACAAATGTTTGAGAAGTAGGAGAACAAAAACTGAAAAGTCGTACGTGTTGCGCCACTGGAATTTAACAACCGTCTATTTTTAACGCTGAATGTCCCGTGTCAGCTACGTCCATCTCGTGAAAGTTGCATGTCAACACGTAGGCTAATGATCAAGGCACGGGTTACGAACAATGGGCCAGCGCGTGATTCCGAGATAATTCACGCTTCTGTGACAGTGATTTCGTCAGATTGGAAATTAAGTTGACTTCACATTACGCCGAATTTCTTGCACGATCTTAATCACATTTGGCACGGAGGCACTACCATATCGGACAGGCATGAGGCCTTTCATTTCTTCGCGTATTATTAATTTTAAGGTTCCCTGTCCTTCCAGAGGGTGTGACTGCTTATAAGAGACCTACCAACCGCTCGACCCCACTTCTGTACACTAATTTATGTCCCTTGCATCTTACATCCTACCAAGGACTCCATATCCTCTGCATCGGCGGCTGCTCGACCTTCAAAATGTTAACCGAACCCAACAACGCGAGAATGTATGATGATTATATCGTTTCATGTCGTCAGAGTAGCTCTTCGCCCGTAAATAACCATGTCCTACGTAAGCTGTAACCCGCCGCTAAGTGATCAGCAAACATGGAAACCACTGGATGGCCACCCCAATCTGTTTGCTCTTCAGATGCCCATCACAGCCACATGTTCGACCCGTAAAGCGGACACTGGCGCTGCGTCCGTCTGCCAAGTGCACTCGCTTGCAACTGCTACGGAAATAATTTCACGCAAGGTGTAGCAGTTGAAGGCCTCCCTTCTCCCTCAAAATCCCCTGCCATTATGTATCAATCAAAACCAGACAGCTTAACTAATTCGTTCTTTCACACAGCACACCAAATAATAATACTAACATCACGACATGGACGGTCACTTGATTACAAACGAGTTCAATGTAAAAATAATCCGTAAATCCATGACGCAATTATGCTGAAAATTGTCCACTCACAACGTTCTGAGAGTTTGATCCATATCCATTTTAAATTGAAGACAGCCATTCTCGATTAAAAATGTTCAATCACTACGCAAGGATAATACTGTGTCAAATCGTGGGTCTAACACCAGGGGCGCAACAACTTGGGAGCTATGCGCTTTCGACAAACGAGAACAGAAGTAGGCCACGGCTACAGACCCAAAGATTTAGTCTGTGGCCACCGCACCATTAAATTAATTGTTGAACCAACTTGGCGTGTCTTACAAATAAACGCATTCCATCCACTCACATTATTGCGAAGTTTTCCTGCAAGTGTTTCCAGATGGCACTGCCACTCCAGAGACCTCAAGTAGAGATGATGCCAGCGTCGCTCCAAGTTGCGAGCCACGCTTTGCGCATGCGCTGTATCGTAGTGTCCCTTGGTGCGGAGAGTCGCAGGACAGGAACTTCCGATCTTCTCGCACAGTTTTACCACGGAACACACGATCTTGCCATGCGACTCCACGTCCCGCTGCACCACCTGCGGAACCAATCACAAGTCATCTACACGTCTCATTTATCATAAATCATCAGTTAATATACCTAATTATAACATAAAAATGCGATTTTGAGGTCCTACTGAATAGCACAACCTCCATAACAAATTTCATCCAAATCCGTCCAGTGGTTCTAGAGTTGAATCGACTGGACAGACAGATGGACAGGACCACACCATAATGAGTTCTAGCCAAGCATATAAACTACAGAAAAATATCTAATACCACTGTTGTGATACAATCTGCCACAATCGTTGCGAGCTAACAACCATTTCGGTCCCCATTCTTGCAACGTGTCTCAAAGGCATCGACACATACTGTTTCAAAAATCACCTCTACCTCGGTTGCACAGCTGCAACAATTTTTTCAACACTGACCCCAGCTTCCGCTGTTGCAAGAATGTTCTGATAATACCCTCGGCTTGTACTCTTAAAACGATGCGTTCCAATAATGACGCATTGTCATGCGGGTTGCCTAGTTCCTAGGAAAAATACAACATGCAGGCCTGAAGCCTGCGCACAGAGTTCAGTGAAGTAGGCTACATGTAACACATTAAAAAGGAAACGATCTTGAAAGCCTCACTCAGCAAGTGTTAAAACAATTCGTTGAAAGCTGTTGATGGCAGATATTAATATACGTCAAACCCTTCTAATAAACTCAGAAGAGAAAGCCATGATCTCTGTTTTGACGACTGAGACAATGCAGCATCCACGCAGCAGGAAGTACTCGTGAGCATAGTTACATGACGGAACTAAAAAAACTCGCTTTCAACATAACTAACGAAGCGAGAAGAATTTATCATCTGATGTACATCTTACGCATTCGGTGTTAAGATTAAGCCTCCGGTGTGGGAATTAACACAATGGAATCGGAGGGCATTCTTTGCTTTTAATTTCCTCTCCACTGAGCAATCGACATTTATATTTTTAAACTGTCGTTATGTGGATGCTTCTGTACTACTAGATGATTATTGGACAACACAAATAATGGGAACTGCTTGTCGAATGTTCAATAAACGTTTTAAAACAGCTCACAGTTATTTCGTTTATTACTAACAACACCTTTATTACCTCAAATAATGGCTTTTCAAGATCACCGACTCAATTATCAAGCTGCATGTTTAAATTCCTTTATAATTATTACAGCAACCATGAAGCAATTTGCGACCAGATTTATTTTCTACTTGATAGGAATATACAGTATCTATTGAGACCAATGCAAGGAGCCTCCGTGTTCCATAAAAGCGGGAAACTTCTTTACTGCCTCAGGGACCACTGCGTTTTCAACTCTGGCACCCAGAACTAGTTTTCGCCATTGTAAAAGGATATTTTTAAACATGGCCAAGATATGCCCCTGGTTAAAAAGCGAAATGGTAATTATATACACGACCTGCCTTAACAATTACCAACTCTGCATATTGTATTTATGGGTTATGTATGATTCTCGGAGTAAACGGCGATAATTTCCTTAAACAGGATTAATCACCTGATCTTTGTAATGGTGCTCTCTGCGGTAAGAACTAAATGTTAAAAAAAATTAACAACACGAAATACTGGCAAGAATGTCGTTATACTCCTTACTCCTTTGCAACCAAGTTAATGGAGATAATTCGAACAGTACAGTCTGTTCATAAATAAGCAGACGTTTTGAAGGGCTTGTAATTATTTACTTGTTACGCATCCGAAGAGCTTGTGAATGAACTTCCGTGACCACGTGTGAAAAATACAAGCGACGTGCGACTGTTCTGTAGTACGCAACTTTCCCGAAAGTGTCAGAAACAAATAATTACACGCACATCAAAACGTCAACATATTTATGAACACCCTGTATTACAAGAAAAAACATTTTTCTGAAGAAGAAAAAAAGATACATCCGCTGCATTCATGATCACAACACAAAATAAAGAATTTTCATTATTCTCAATTGACGTTCGATGAGATAAAATCTTCCCTCGATGTATGGTTTCAAACCCGGCCACACATCGCGTCAAGATAATTGGGATTTTTTCTCACAACTATGCTGTGTAACAATAAATTGCAATTACAAAAGCTGCTCATTACAGCCAGATCTCAGGTGTAAGTAACCTGCGTTATCTCGTAGAAGAAATCTCCACAGCATAGCCTACCCAATCCAGTCTCCTCTCTATTTCATTGGAAAGAAGGGACAATGCATGTGGCTTGTCTAGATGTGACTCACAGCAACTGCTAGGGGGGGCAACATGATGCTCCCTGCTGGGATTTGGAAATACAGAACGCTACACGGCCAAATCAATCGCAGTGTTGCTCGCCACTCACGCTCGACAATCCCGAGTTCCGTGGTTCGAATCTCGAACCCCGATGTAATCATCTTTCTTAGGGCTATACAAATCCCTTCCGGAATGGGTCACGCCCGCGGTCTTTTGTTCGAGCGGCCAGAATTACAAGACAATTAGCAACAACGATTCACTGTCTTTTTGTCAACGTATAAGACGTCACTTTTTTTAAAAAAAAAATGAAAAGCCAAAAAATTTGAACTTGTCGAAGTGTAAAGTTTTCTGACGACGTGAGTTTAAATTACTTTTACACGACTAACATGAAACGAAGACGTTTCGGGAGCTGTATTCTGCTTTCGACATCAGGTGAGAATTAGGAAGAGGAGAGGAAACCAATCTGCTGTCCCTCCTGGTTAAGCCAGCCTCAGACCAAGACCTTGCCTTCAAAAGAATTTTTTCTTGAGTTTACGACTCAGTACCACAGATTTTTGCACAGAACTATAGCATCACGGAAGATGACTACATTTAAGGTGAGATTTCACGTTCTCAAGGCATAGGCTGTTTTCTGGGTTGTTGCGGCGTCGTATGTAGGTAGATACCAACGTTTCAAAGTATAGAAGAACACTCAGTCCTAAAGTTGGATGCAATATGTTACTCCGTAACGTTATCTACATACACACGATTTTACAACTCACAAAACAAACACCGATAAGTTAACTAACAGCTGTTAAACGTCGTATCGGGATCTAAAGATAACGAAAAGATGTGGGAGGCAACGCCAAAGTTTTCCTGTCACTAGCGCATTAGGTTAACAGCTCTCGGCGAGCACCTGTGTGTACGGACTGGCACGATCTGAACACGTCACGTGCCAGCCTCCCAGAACGAAACATCTGCTTCCCCGTGACGCAAGGAAAAAAACCCTGGGTCAGTACAAATCATCGTGCGGGGTAATAACAAACTTCCGAGCAAGAAACGACTAACAACAAGAGCAAAAAAATTGTTATTTGCACAACAAAGGCGACGGTACCAAGAGGTGTGGCCAAGCGAACATTGTGTGCTGCCACCACATGACACCAAACAAAGGTGCAACGAAGAAAATGGTGCCTCCGACAACTGCATTTGGTGCCATATGAATCTCCAACAGAAGTACAAATCTAAATAAGGTTATCCCTGTGCTTAACTGAATATCTGGCGCATGTAAAGCTCTACGCATTCCTCCCACACGTCGCAAATTCAGATCCACGGATGTCTTCACCGCAACAAATATCCAATACCCATGGCCAACGGAAGCGGATCAGCTCTGAAGTGCGATGGATAAGAAATACGTCAAACCGCCCCCGCAGAATAATCAAACTCCGAACGGCCTCTCCACGTAAGAGACTCGAAAATGCACAGATTTATTGCAAACGTACATGACAAGTCGTTAGGTTAACACTCCGTCTACGCAACAATTTTTTATTATATTTCATCGTTTATTAATGATTCACTACATGTTTCTACCTTGAATGGTCATCTTCATGCGGGTAGAATGGCTTTGACGTTCGTAATTTCAGTAAGTAAAAACGTCTAAGTTCACAATTATTACTGTGCACTTTAAATGGTACATGAAACTTCATCCTTCTGCGTGAAATTAAAGTAATATTTCGACATCATGCCTGCGAGCACCTGTCCTTACACCACCATGCAATAAAATGATGTATGGGGTTCAATTTAATTACCTCGCTTCAAGGTATTTACTGTACATGAAGTTGGTTGCACTGTTCTACTTTACCGAGAGATAAAGCCTCGCGGCGTTGCCTGGACATGCTGCAAGCAGTTGCGATTAAATTATTAAAGTACCAGCAAGAACCAGTTACGTCAACGCACACCTCCTAATCAGAGGTCGAATAAACCCGTTCAAAACGCCAATATGTTCAGAAATAAATTTGATTTTTCTCGTTGAACGCCCAAAATGAAACAAATCACTTGATACATTAGAATAATTGGAACCCGAAGACACGTTATCGTTCACAAACAGCCAGCCTTGAATTCCATCGTGCGCCAGTCTGCACCCTCCCAACACGTCCATCCAAATTTCTATTGACGTTATTCTCCAAGTACCCCCGTCTCCCTCGCCTGATGTTTCGCGACAAATATGGGCATGAAGTTGGAGGAACCATGGAAAAGATTCCTTCTATTCAGGTAGCCGCCGTGCCACGGGTTTAGGCAGACGCTTGTCTGGAACAGTGTGGGTCAGGGTCGCCACGTGGTGCCACGTGAGATAAAGCTAATGGTTCCTTCTTGTTCCTGCCCACACCCACTGCTGAGCGCATGTAACACCAGAGATCAAGATAATTACAAGAGAAAGATAGTTTCATCTGGTATTAAGCTGCAACATGTTACTGATTCTACTTTCCCAATCTCAGATTGGTTCTCGTATAGCGATGATTAATATTACTGCTGAAGGGAATAACGACTGCATGCAATACACATCCGCTAGGTGATAAAAATATTCCAACTCACTATTCCACTTTTGCTCTCCTGGTATCTTACAATAACCAAAGCGAAAGAAATTTTCGCATGACATTAGTGTGCTACCTGATAAAATTATTATAATTTGTATCATTCAAAGTTGTTCATTGGTTAGCAAAGTTGACACTATCGCTGACATCACGTCTAAAACGAAAGTTCGAAAGTTTCTGTACCAAATCGCATCTAGTGACAGTAATAACATCCATCAGATACGAGTTGGCA